TGCCCCCCCCCTCCCTTGGGGCGGGGGTTGGGCGCGTGGAAGTTGCATCGGGCACAGGAGGTTCGATGTTTGAGGCTGGAGGCGCGAAGAGGGCTTGCAAGATGCAATGTCTACCAAATTTATTCCAAATTTATTCCAGAATGATTTTGGAATAAATTTGGCAGAAATTGCATCGTGCCCGGCCCCTTCTCACCCCCTCCCTCCCCAACCTCCGCCCATAGCCTCATCTCTCTCTCTCTCTCTCTCTCTCTCTCTCTCTCTCTCTCTCTCTCTCTCTCTCTCCTCTCTCTCTCTCTCTCTCTCTCTCTCTCTCTCTCTCTCTCTCTCTCTCTCTCTCTCTCTCTCTCTCTCTCTCTCTCTCTCTCTCTCTCTCTCTCTCTCTCTCTCTCTCTCTCTCTCTCTCTCTCCTCTCTCTCTCTCTCTCTCCCTCTCTCTCTCTCTCTCTCTCTCTCTCTCTCTCTCTCTCCCTCTCTCCCCCCTCTGTCCCACCCTATCCTTCCCCATCCCCATGACCAGCGGCGGTAGCGGCGACAGCCCCGTGGTATTTTCGCGGCCACCTGATCGGCCCAGCTCTCGGCGGTGTCGTCCAGCTGCCACTTGGCCTCCTTCACCCGAGCGTGTGCGACGAGGACGGACGTCAGCTGCGACTGGCTGCACGTGTCGCGCGGCGCCAAGACGGCGCGGATGCCTGAAACGAGTTTCACGTGCTCCACCACATCATCGGCCGAGGTCCCGCCCGTATCGGCGCACACACTCTCGGGATCCAGGGCGGATTTCAGCATCACCCGCGCCAGCTTGGTTGTCTGGTCGCTCGTGAGCTCGGAGGCTGGCCTCGCTTGGCCTCCTCTGCCACCTTTGCCCATGGCCTCCTAGCTCCTAGCCTCCTCTGCCTGGCCTCCTAGCCTCCTCTGCCTGGGGCCTCCTGGCCTCCTCTGCCTGGGACCTGGCCTCCTAGCCCTCCTCTGCCTGGGGCCTCCTGGCCTCCTGGCCTCCTCTGCCTGGCCTCCTGGCCTCCTCTGCGGCCGCCCCGCGCGCGCGGTGGCGGGGCCGCCGCGCGGCCGCGGCGCGCGGCCTCGAGGTGGGCGAGAGGCGGGAGAGCGAGAGCGAGGGAGACGCGAGCGAGAGAGACGGCAACAACACGAGAGGAACGCACGGGCGTGTGTACATGGAAGTAATGTGCATATACACGTACGCACATGTATGTAGTTGTATCTATATACACATATACATATACATACATATGTATATAATGTTGATATGGTATATGTGTATATATGCACATATAAGCGTACATGCATATATAAATACATAGAAATGACATACCTATGTAAAAAACGCGTTTTACGGGATCCACTTTTCTGTTGGACCTTTTTCTGGATCCACTTTTCGTCTTGGATCCACTTTTCTTCCGGATCCAGAAAGTGGATCATGAGGACCTCTGGGGCGCGCCTCCTCGGGCCATCCACGCTGGATGCCAATTCTTCGCGGCGGCAAAGACAGACGGCTGCGCCGTCGCGCGCTTCTGTAATTCCCGCGCTCCCGAGGCGACCCGATCGACAATTTTCCTGCTGGCGCGAAACGGGATCCGCGCGCGCTGCGCGCCGACCCGGCGGGCGCGCCTGGGCCTGCAAGTCTGCGGCGAATCCAGCGGGCGCCGGGCGCTTTGCGATCTCTCGGGCAACGTTAACGCGCGCGCGCGCTGGCCCGCGCCGCGCGCGCTGGACCGCGGACGCGCGCTCGGAGCGACCACTGCCGACGAGCTGTTTCCTCGCCTCGGAAATTAATCCACGCGACAAAATGCGCCCTTTCCCGGTCGCCACGGACGACTCGGCGTCGAAACCCACCGGCCTCGCCCGCGCCTGGACCTCGACCTCCCCGACCACTTGCCCATCGCACAGCCGCGCTACGGCGTCGAGCCACTCGGGAGGCATCGCCTCGAGTGGCCCGCCGTTCGCGCGGGCGGCGCCGGCGCCGCTGGGAGATTCGCGCAGCGCGGCCGTCGCTGCGACGCTCGCAAATCGCCGCGCGTCAAACGCATTGAGCGCGACCCTCGCCGATAAGCGCTTCGCCGCGGCCGCGCGGAAATTATGGCGGCGGGGGCTGCGCGGCGCCGCGCAACGAGGCCCGCGCGCCCACGCCGCGGACGACCGAGCACGCGGCCACCAACGCGCGGCCCGCGACGACTCGGCCCAGGCGCGCAGGAGGGCAGGCGCGGGGCGAAACCACCCTGCCGCGACGCAAGAATGTCTGCCTGCCCACGACAGCCAATCGCAGGCCGGAGGACGGCAGCGAGGGCGAGCGAGCTCATGTCCGGAAGCCAGCAAAATGCTCATGGCGAAATCGCCGCGATGGGGCGCTTGATGGCCCGTCTTCCCGCAGCGGCCAATAGCTAGCCCGCGCGACGGTGGCGCACTGGCCACTTGTAGACCTGCCTGCCGAGGCCACAAGTAGGCTGGCGTGGCGGCAGCGGGGGCAAATGAGCCCATGCCACACAAACCAATAGTAGGCTAAAAAAGGATTTACCTTGACGGGACACTATAGTCCGTCTGTCCGCATCGGCCACTGGCAAGCTTGCGTGACGGTACCGAGGGCGCGGGGGCCCGTGACCACAGAAGCCAATGGTAGGCTTGCGGTGCCAGCGCATGACCGGGCGCCAGTTGGACCCCAATCCGCGGCCGACGATAGGCATCCGCGATGCCAGCCAGGGCGATAGAGCGCATCGCCACCAGCGAAGGCAACGGAAAAGAAGATCGGCGGCAAGGCGACGCATAGGGGCCGCCCCCGTGCGGGCAGACACCTGCCCCCCTGAGGGGGGCAGGCCCGCGTGCCGCCGAGGAGGTCACAGACAAGAAAATCGGAACCTGCGGATGGGGTGGGGGGGCGAAGGGGGCCTGAGCGTGAAAGCGCGCGGGGCGGAGGCCAACGCGCGCGCGCGCGGAGCGCAGCAGGCGGCAGCGGCAAATGGCAGACGGGAGGCACGACCGAACCGAAAACAAAGCCAGCCAGCAGCCAGCGCCGCGAGACGGGGCAGGCGAACGAAACCTATCGCCACGGGCGCGACACGCGAGCCGAACGATCGAGGAGACGACCCCAAAGCCACGAAGGAAAAACGCGGGCGACCATGGAAAAAAAGCAAGCCAGAGCCACGCGACACGAAACCACGAATCGAACGCACGAGACACACAGGGGCCAACCCGAACCGAACCGAACCGAAAACGCAAAAGGCAGCGGGCCTGCACATTCCTGCAAAATCCGCGGTCGTCTGCTCGGCGCCGCAACGCGCGCTCGCCCCGTCGGGCCACGCGCGCACCTGCAATCCCCGCCTGCGCAGAGGAAGCGCGCCCGCGCGCGGATTTGCCCCGCGCGCGCGCCTGTCAAACGAGCCACGTGCACCAACGCACCGCGCGTGTGCGCTTGCCAACCGCGCGTTACTTCCCGCTGCCCCCGTTGCGAATTGCGCCCTCGAGCCAGCGAGCGTGTGCATCCTTCAAAAACCGATGTGATTCTGACGTTTCCTCATGGCCCCCAGATTGCCCCACGGAGCCCCAAGCGGGACCCAACAGGGCCCCGAAACGGCATCAAGAGCGCCCACTCACGCTCCAAAAGCGGCCCAGAGCGGGCGCCAAGACGAAGGAGGGCCTGTATTGAGGACCCCCCACGTGCTTGAGCCATGAAAGCCAAGATCGCCTCAAGAGGCCTCCAACACTCCAATGTTGCAGGGTCTTTGCAAGGTCTTTGCAACCACCCCTCCCTGCAAAGATAAACGCCCTGCCAAGAGGGTCCCCTTCCTCTGCTTGCCGTCCGTCTCCGCCTCTTCCTCCTCCACTTCCTCCTCCTCCCCCGCCTGCACATCAGGCTTCTCTGGTTCTTTCAAAACCACCACCTCTTCCTCCTCCTCCTCCCCCTCCTCCTCCTCCTCCTCCTCCTCCTCCTCCTCCTCCTCCTCCTCCTCCGTATCAACATCAGCATCATCATCACCAGCAGCATCGTCATTACCATCACCCGAATTCTCATCAACATCATGACCACAAGCATCAACATCACCATCATCGCCATCATCAACATCATCACCATCATCATGTTCCTCCGTTTCGTCTCGTTGCACCGTCAACTCCCAGAAATAATGCGTCAGGTGGGCCCACAGGTTGCCCGTAACCGAGGATCCGACCGTATGCCATGTTGGAAAGGATCGCGTCAACAAAATGAAAATGCGGCCCCACATAGCCGCCACGGCATTGGGACATGCGTTGCATGACCCATCATATGTTCCCGATCCTTGCTGCTGCTCACACACGACTTCTACCATGTCAACATGTATGAGTTTCCGTATTGTGTTCTCCTCCTCCTCCTCCTCCTCCTCCTCCTCCTCCTCCTCCTCATTCCCCCTGCACATACTAGTTTCACCTCATCCTGCTGCAAAAAAATAGCCTCCCCGCCCCGAGAAGGCCCAAAGAGAAATTCAAGAGCGACCCCATGGGAACCCGATCAAAAGCAACGCAGCTGGGTAACAATCGTTAGATGATTCAACCGAAAGGTTCCCACCGTTTCTTCGCCCCTGATGCGCTTGCACGGCGGCCCGTTCCACAGCGTGCTTCAAGAATGCACTGATTCGAGCAAGTCGCGTGCGGATAATGCCTAGCTGGGCGAATGGGGATATTTGTTAGTCAGCAGCCGCAAGCGAAAGCGCAAACGGCGAGTCGAGTCAGAGCGGGCCGCGCAAAGACGAAGCGAATGGGGATATGCGAAGCGTCAATAATTGATGTTTCAAACGGTTTTTACCATCCCAGCGTTCTCGGTGATACAAAATCGTGTTCCCGTTGCAGCGTGGGCCTCTTTTTCGGATCGGCGCGTTGCTCCCGTCGTTCAGAATGGCGCTCTCGCCCCCGTGTGGGCCACTTTTCCGGATCCGAGTCCTGCTCCATTGTGGTCCCCCCCATCATTTCCCCTCGAGACGGCGGCGACAAACGGCGGCGGCATCGACGAAACGGCCAGCGAGGCGCCTCTGCCGGAGCTGCGCCGGCCGCCCCCGCCGCCAGCGGAGCAGGCGCCTGCGAGCGGGGGCGGAGGATACCTCCGAGCCAGGAGAGGCCTCTGAGAGGAGGGGGAGGGAGAGGGGGGGGGGGGCAGGAAGGGGGGCGAGGGGAAGGAGGAGAGGAACTGGGGGGATGGAGGGAGGGAAGGGAGGGCGGGAGGGGCAGGAAGGGGGGAGAGGGAGGAAGAGGGGTCAATCGGAGTGTAGATTGAGATTCCATGGCGTCTTCATCTTGAACTCAGAAGGCGAGACAGAAAAGCAGCAACTGAGACATGTTGTGATGGTTTGCGCATCCGGGTGGAGTGGAGAGTATCGTTTAACCGATCCCCATCCCCAGCGGCGTTGCCTGGGCCCCACTGGCCGATTTACCCCCCTAGATGGGGATATGGGCCGTTCCCTTCGGGTTTCGAGGGTTGCATCCCCAACTGGGGTGATAATTTGGTGGGGGTCTCAAAGGGGATGGGGATGGGGATGGGGATGGGGATTGGTTAAACGATACCGATCGAAATACGCTACCAAAGTCCGTGATATGCACCACCCCGCAATTGCGGGTAAGAGTGAAGGGGCGGGCGCTGGGTGGGTCGCCAGTGGGTCGCGAGCGATTTGCGGGTGGGTCGCGGGGTGGGTTGCGGGTGGGTCGCCGGTGGGTCGCGACTGATTCGCGGGCGGGTCGCGTTGTGTGTCGCGGGTGTCGCGGACGGGTCGCGGGCGGGTCGCGGGGTGGGTCGCGGGTGGGTCGCAGGGTGGGTCGCGGGTGGGTCGCATGTGTGTCGCGGGTGGGTTGGGGGCGGGTCGCGGGTGAGTCGCGGGTCGGATCGCGGGCGGGACGACGACAACAAACAACAAAAAACAAACGACCAGCCACAAACAAATCAATAAGTAAAAACAGCAACAACACCACCAACAACAAAAAACAACCACAGCATCAACGACGACGACAAAAACACCAACAACAACAACCACAACAACAACAACGACAACCACAACAACAACGCCAACAGCAACAGCAACAGCAACAACAACAACAACAACAACAACAACAACAACAACCACAGCAGCAGCAACAGCAACAGCATCAACAGCAACAGCAACAGCAACAACAGCAGCAACAGCAACAGTCACAGCAACAGCAACAGCAACAGTAACAGCAACACCACCAACAACAACAACAACAATCATTCCAAGACTGTTCGCTCCTACCGGCCCGCGTGTCATTCACTATGTATATCCCAAACCCTGGATACCCGTCCTCTTCGTCTTCGATAGTACCCCCGCTTGGGGGGTACTAGTCCTTCCTGGCCACGTGTAGTTGGAGAAACCCCTAAACAGGGAAACGAAAGCGAAATGACAAAAAGAGAAGACGAAGAGATCGGAGGAAGGGAGGGAGTAGAAGGCCAAGAGGGAGGGACGACGATGATTTGCGCCGTGAGTTGCGATTCAGCTTGTGCCATGGCTTGCGCCAGCCATTCCAACACAGGTTAACAAACTTCGCCATGGGTCGCGCCATAAACTGTGAACGGGGTTGAAGTACAAGGGTACAGAACCCTTGATCCGTTGGTAGAGGGAAGGAGGGATAGATGGATGTCTTTCCCTCCTGCACGATCAAAGGTCTGATCGATCTGTCCCAATGCCTGAGCCCAAACGGCCAGGCGCAGGAGAGGTGAGGATAAGGAGTATATATGAGGGTATCACACGGGTTCTATTCACACACCCCGTCCCGAATCCCGCCCGTGAGGGTAGGACTCGGGAACAGAGGAAAAGATCCCGTCACCCTTGTACTCCTCGAATCCTCAATTTGTCAGGCAGCTGAGCGTAAGATCTGTGTAGCTTCAGCTGCAAGGTAAGGTAAGAAGGAACACCCAGGGTCCCAATTTCTTCGCCAAGCACGCTTTGGTGCCCCTTCGGTGCGCCCCCAAAAAACGCTTCGGCACTCGAGGGCGGAAAAGAATGAGACACGGGTGGGCGGAAAAAGAGGACCTGAGCCAGTTAAAGCAACATCAGAATCTGCCGCGCCTAAGCGGGGCAGGTGTTGCCACCAGCTCTCTGTCGAGAGCTGGGCATCAGATCATTCTCAACGCAATGCGAGCAAAGTCCAAAGAGTAAACGATAAACAACAGGTATTCTAGGTTCGTGTTGACGAACACGATCGTGTTTAGAAACACGTCTAAAAACCAAAACGAATGTCTGGCCAGACGCGAAGTCGCGTTGATAAACACGAAAAATTGCATGCATATATATAAATATATATATATATATGTGTATATATATAATCAGATTTGGCGACTCCCGTTGGCGCTGCCCCTTAGGAGGCTGCCTTGGGCATCGCAAGGATATGTGTGTGGCCACTTTTCTGGAATAGTGAAGTGGCCTGAGAAATTATAATAGCCACCGCTCGAGGCGAACTTGTGCAATGATAAAGTTCTAGCCTTTCGAGCGGTGGGCCTGGCGGCCGACTCTACTACGCGTTGCCCCTCTCGTAGAACCTGCGGCCCCACACCCTGTGACCATCGTGCGATGCGTAGCTCGTCGCGAAGGTCTCCCAAGGCGTCCTCGGGATCCAGTGGCGGAACCAATCGCTGTACTGGATGTCGCGTACGTATACGAACTCGTCGCTGTTGTCCGTGATGTATATCCAGCATTTGGTGTAGTAGCTCCAATATCTGGTGCCCCACTGGCTGTCCTCTAGGTTGTCGCGCAGCCATGTAGCGTAGTCCTCCGCCGTGCGCGCCCTCTTGGCGCGAGGAAGTGTCGCAGGTCTGCGGCTGTCGTCGCTGTCCTGCCGCTGCGCTGCAGTGCCGCGCGGCCCCGCGGGCATGTAGTCCCGCGTACCAGAGGCGCTGGGCCCTGCAGCGTCGCCAGGAGCAGGGCGCGGCGGCGGCGGCGGGTGCCGCGGCTGGCATGGCTCCGTGGCATCATCAGAGCGTTGGGAGTGTGTATCAGGTTCGATCGGATCGGTTCTCACCCCTGAATCAACCCCCCCCTGGCCAGTGGAACCCAAGGCGGGTTCAACAGAAGCAAGCACGGCAAGCTTGCGCTGCGTGACTCTCTCACGGGTGCCATCCCCTCTGGGAAGGGCAATCGTGGCAAGCCCGCGCGCCTGCCGCGTGCTTCGGTCGAGTCTGCCTGCGTTCAACCACCACGTCTTCCGACCAGCTTGGCCAGTCCTGATGCTGGTCTCGAGGATTTCACAGGCGTCGCGCATGTCCTCAATGGTATAAACATTCTTGCCTTTATTGACACGAGCGCCTGTCATTTGGCGGTGGAACTTCAAATTATCGAGAAAGCGCTGAACGAGGTTGGCAAAGGGATGGCATAGAGGTCTGCCGTCCTCACGCTCGCCCATCAATCAGCACATGTGTGCAGGAGGGGAGCCAGCGGCGACCCACTTCTCATACCTCTTCCTAGCAGCATCGCCAATCTCCTCAGCACGTCTTTCTCATGTCCTGGAATGGAGCGCTTGCCCATCATTATGACCTGCGCTCCGTCTCTCGTGTACCTCGTGATGTCGTCCTGGGAGAGCGTCGTCTTGATCCAGTGGGTCAGCTTCTGGAGGTATGCCAGGTCGCTCTCGACAGCGGTACTTTTACCCGTAGCACCTACGGCAACAGTGTACTGCCAACAGATGTCACAAACGGTACTTTCATATGTAACGACCCCTAGAGACAAGAGGCGACCGCAATTCCGACATCGCGCGATATCATGCTGGATATATTCTGGGGCTCCGTCAATCGTGAGGTGCTCACGGGATCCCCAGCGAGTGTCCCGACCACGAGCAAGACTGCGGCCGATCTGATCCATGGCATCGCGGTTGATCTTGGCGGTCGGACGGAAAGCGATCGATCGGCTCATTCCCCGGATCTCGATCCTAGACAATCTTTCCCCTGGCAGTCCTACGCGCTCAGTCGCGTCGTTGTCCGCGTTGTCAGTATCACCGTGGCATACGTTTTCTGTACGGGTACGGTTAGCCTCTTCCTGCAAGGCGGACTCGTTGTCGCCCTCCTCGCGGTCGATTCCCTTCTGCTGGGCTATGAGCCGTACCGTGGTTTCCTGATCTGGAACTGCGGATGCAACGCTGCCTGGGTCCTGGGGAATGTCCTGCTCCACGCCTGGGTCCTCATGTGGCGCGGCAGGTGTTTCCACCAGCTTCCTCCATACGGGGAAGCCTGGGTTGCCGAATGTCTGGGTACAATGTGTAAATAGATCACGTAACGTCTTGAGTGCAGGATGGTTCTGATGAGTAGCATCTTTTGTGAAATCACGAAGCTCCGCAATGCTGTCCAGCAGTATGATTTGATACACTTTAGAAATCCATTGGAAGACGCCTGTAGTTGATTCCTCGATGACCTCTGGGTCCAGGTAGTGTACCAACTTTTTGAAGAAACTATCTGCACTGCAAATCGGTAAGTCACGTGCCCATTTGTGGGTACGATTGTAATCCAAATAGTATGTCTCTGCGTTCCATGTTTTGGATCCAAATTGAATCTCAAATCGTAAGTGTGACTGTGCTTTATCCACCGCAATCCTCTCCCTGCCAGTATGCACCTCAATGATTTGTTTCACCTTTATCATAGGTGAGTCCACCAACAACTCCGACGTCCAGCGGTATATGCGGTGGTCGTAGGATTGCGTGGTCCACTTTGAATCGTCGTCTGGGTCGTAGTCGGGATGGTTGAGGAAGTCCTCTGGCGGGTCGATGATATTGTCGAAGATGCTCGCGTCGACGTCCTCATCTGCTTGGATCTCTGCTGATAAATCTGCTCTCATGTTATCATTTGCTGCTTTTTCCTCAGCAGTGAGTGGGATGTTTGATATATCCACGATGACGGTAACCAGAGGATCAGCAGATTGGCCTGCCTTTTGTTGGGGTCCATCGTCTGCGGTAGCAGTATCCTCGGCAAGTGTGGCCACCAGCTCACCGGGATCGGGTGTCCGAGGAGCGGGTCGTCTGGTCGGCGTACGTGGGATACGTGGCTTATAAATGCTCGGCATTCCAAGATATGGTAGATCACCATCTGT